TGATTGAAGATGTGCTTGATAAGTTTTATTTTATGATACTTATATTTGAAGATGTATTTGAACATACAACTTATAGTTTTATGTTTTTTTTTTGTTTATCAGAAACCTATATAATTTTAGCTTGATTTCCATTTAATGACTCTCAAGACAAATGCTTCACCAATTACAATTTTATTGTTTTTTGTTTATGAGAAACCTATATAATTTTTTATTTTGGCTTTGAGTTCTCTCTTGTACATAATTGGGGCTTAGCTTTTTCCAATGATGGATTCAACATTTTTGCTCTCTGGGTACTTTTGAAGCCTGCATTCTTGATGGGACTTATTTTTACCAAATGGGCATGTGCATTCTTACTCTGCTATTGTCTCATCACTTATGGGGTATATTCAGGTAAGGTAAACTCTGTTAGCTCCTAAGTTTCATGCCTTATCCGTTATTTATTCTTCGAAAGCAATGCATTGAGTCCATTATCTAACTTATCTCTTGTGTTGTGTTGAATGGCCTTGTCTCAATGGAGGGTTTACACGGGAGTTCTAAAGTGAGAGGACTGAACTTAGGAGGGTGGCTGGTTATTAAAGGTTGGATCAAGCCTTCACTGTTTGATGGCATTGCCAATGGAGACATGCTAGTGAGCTACTTCACATTTTGTTTATTGATTCATTTTTTCTTTGAAAAACATGAGTCTTCTGGGGTGTTAATAACTCATTTGGCTGATCTATATGTTGATATTGAAAATACTAGTCATCAGCTTATGTGATAATCTGCTAGAGAATTGGTTCATTCTAATTGTTTTTCTATGTGTTTCTAGTAATGTTTTCTCATCAGATATGAAGTTTTATCTCAAAAACTTGTTTTACCTTTAATATAAATAATTATAATGCTGATGGAATTCCAATTCTAATACTATTAAATGATGAAGGAAAAAAGAAGGAAGAAAGAGAGTGTGAATCAAACGAATATTGTTTTTTAGCTAACGGTTGGTGCTACAGTCGCATGTGTTATTTATAGTTGATTACTGTTGAAGTAATCTTGTGCCCCTGGCATGGTTTTTGCAGTTTGATTATGATAGTTCTACTCCACCAGAACTTGGAGAAGGAGATTAAACGGCCATGCCAATCTTCTTAAAGAATTTAGAATAACTTTTATGGAAGCTATAAAAATGGCATGTGTTTTTCTCTAACTAACAGTGATTCACTAGTTTAATAATTTTCAAATTAATGTTATTCTATCTGTTCTGATTGTCAATTGTGTTTTAAAATTCCAGGTTCGACTAGGCACTCAAATTTGGTCATATGTTTAGGGAAGAGGCTTCTCATGGAAGGGTAAATTTCAAATTCTCCTTTATTTTTTGGTCATTCATTGTTCTCTGTGTGTGGATACACAAGATTAATATGTTTAAACTTAGGATTCCAGACTTCATTTTGTTAGCCTGATTTATGCAGAAAGCACCTATCGATCCTTTCACTAGAGAAAGTTACAAGCCATCTGCATCTCAAGGAGTTCCAATTGGAGGGATGAGGTATGATTTGTTCCAATTGAAAGCTACCAAATAATTGTTTGACTCACTAATAACCATTCAAATGGCTAATAGGTTACTATTTACAAATATGTTTATCTGTTGGCCATAACCTTTTTCTTCTTGTATTTATTTGAACATGACTATACAGGAGTGGCAGCATATCAAGAGGATTTAGGGGTGAGTTCCGACAATGGCAAATTATTCCTAGCTCATGTGAAGCATCACCAGTCATGGCCATTCAATTCTCTGTGAGTTCTATTTTTCCACTTACTATTGACCTGCTATAATCATCTCTAATTGCATGGATTTATTTCCCTGTGTCATATGTTTGTCACTGATGTGTTCACAATGTATCATTTGAAATGAATTATAGAGACATTAACCATTTCTAAGGAGCTATTGACTTTTATTGATCATGCAGTTTATTGCTGCTTGCAAGAAACCTCCTGTGTTTTGCATAATTACTAAATATTTGGCTGGTGGTTCACTAGCAAAATTCCTGCATCACCAACAACCAGATATACTTCCACTCAAACTTGTTCTGAAATTAGCCCTTGACATTGCAAGGGGAATGCAATATCTTAATTCTCAAGGGATTCTCTATAGGGACCTCAAATCAAAGAATCTCCTTCTGGGGGAAGACATGTGTGTAAAAGTAGTAGATTTGTATAGTTCATAAACAGTTCATAAACTGGTGGCATAGTTTAGAAGCAGTTCATAAATAGTCCAGTTCAAAAATAGTGCAGTTCAGAAATAGATTAAGGTGCATAGCAGTTCAGTTTAGTTCATATTATAGTTCAGTATAGTTCATTACAATACAGTTTAATAGAATAAAAAATAGTTCAGTTCAGTTTGTGTAATCTAATTTTCAGTTCAGTTCAGTTTAATTGAACTACTTTTCAGTTTAATATAGTTTTTAACAGTTCAGTTTAGTGCAATTTAATTTGCTCACCCCTACTTGGAGGTCACCTCTTCAGCGTCACGAGGGGCCGAGATCTCGCCAACTCTCTTCTCGCCCATCTTTCTTTTTCGGCGGGTCTCTAGAGGAGAAATCTCTTCCTCGCCAGGCTCGGAGACCTCGATCTCCTCCATGTTGTAGCGGGCTTTCAGCTCGTGCCACTTGCTTTTCCCCATTTTGCCTGCAAACACAAGAAGCCCAACACATAAGAAGAAGAAAAAAGATAGAGAGCTTGACAACTAAGTGTAGACACCCAATTTCGTCCGGGGGCCTACAAACAACAAGATAGGACATCAGAGGGCCCAAAAGCCCAAATCAACTATTTTTAGTGGCCCAGAACGGGCCGTTCCAAAATCAGAACGGGTCGTTCCCAAGTCCAGAACGGACCGTTCTTGAATTGGAATGGGCCGTTCCAGACCAGAACGGGCCGTTCCAAACCAATCAAAGGGCCTAAAAAACTTGGTTTGGAACGGGCCATTCCTAAACCAGAACGGGCCGTTCCGGCCCACATCTGATGCCTATAAATAAAAATCTTAGGCATAGTTCTCAAGGCCCCCAAAAATTTCTTCCAAGACTCCTTAGAGCTCGAAATTTCTCTCTCTCTCTCCCTCTTATTGTATTTCTTGATATTTGTGAGGCATATTGTAGTGTGAAAGGTTGCCATAAAGCACCTTCTCCATATTTGAAGATTCAATAGAAGCTCGTTCAAGAGGCATTTCAATCAATCTTCTTCTATATTTTATTTCTCATCTTTATCTCCATCTTTTATTTATAACAAACACAATCATATAGATATTTTAGGGTTAGTCGTATAATTTAAATTTTAAGCATGTAAATAATCATCAATAAAAGGAGTTTTAATATTTATATTATTATTTCTTATCACATTAACTTCATCATAGGGTACCGATTTAGGGCGCTGTAGGGGTGCTTAATACCTTCCTTACACGTAACCGACCCCCGAACCCAATTCTGGTTATCAAAGCCATTATTGGACCTTTTAAAAATCTTTTCTTTTTCCAATGTTTTGAGTAAAACATTGGTGGCGACTCCATAGAACCTATTTTCAAAATCATCAATTAAGGATTAGTTTGGTGTCCGGGCATTCCTTAATTGATGAGATCTTTAAAAGGATGTCTAAACCATAGGTCGCAAGATCGGAAATTTTCGGGTTACGATAGATGGCGGCTCCACTAGGGAATTTTAAAGAGGGTCAGGCCCATTTAATTGATGAAGTTAATAAAATAAAAATATAAATATAAATATTTTTCCCCTTTACTTTGTTTGTTTTATTTGCTTGGGTTTAATATTTGTTTTCCTGTTTAAATTCTGCACTTGTTGAAATACAAATTGTATACAAAACTTTTGCACACAACAGTTCCCCCTACACCTAGGGGCATGAGGGTATTAAACATAGGGAGTGGTTGACGTACGACCGGCCCAAGTTTGGCCTTGGAGCCTGCGAGCCTTGTCAGAAATCACACTCAAGGTGATAACCGGTTACTCTAGCCCAAAATACTGCGACAGACCTTAGAGTTTGCCAGGTGACGGCGATAGAGATACTGGGTCCCTATAATGGGGGCACCTTGGGGGCCTTAAAGACCAGTGAGATTAGAACTGTCCTATACAACGCACTTTTCTTGACAGGGACCACAGACCAAGGATTTGAACACGATCATTCGTGGGTGTACGTTGATTGAGCATGTGTGTGTGCATTTGTTTGTATTAAAAAGTAATAAAATAAGCAAACAGATAATAAAAAAAAATAAAAATTTTATACCCTTTCATACATTCTTAGGTCAGCATTCCACTAATATCATATAGGTAGTTTCCTTTTTGTAAAAAAAAATCAATAAAAGAAGTTTCTTCTTTACCATGCATCATTCCCTTTTAGATAATAGAAACATGATAACGATTAGGCAAAAAAACATGTCATGCATTCTAGATTAGCTCATTAATTTCATTCATTTTTACACGGGAGTTCTAAAGTGAGAGGACTGAACTTAGGAGGGTGGCTGGTTATTAAAGGTTGGATCAAGCCTTCACTGTTTGATGGCATTGCCAATGGAGACATGCTAGTGAGCTACTTCACATTTTGTTTATTGATTCATTTTTTCTTTGAAAAACATGAGTCTTCTGGGGTGTTAATAACTCATTTGGCTGATCTATATGTTGATATTGAAAATACTAGTCATCAGCTTATGTGATAATCTGCTAGAGAATTGGTTCATTCTAATTGTTTTTCTATGTGTTTCTAGTAATGTTTTCTCATCAGATATGAAGTTTTATCTCAAAAACTTGTTTTACCTTTAATATAAATAATTATAATGCTGATGGAATTCCAATTCTAATACTATTAAATGATGAAGGAAAAAAGAAGGAAGAAAGAGAGTGTGAATCAAACGAATATTGTTTTTTAGCTAACGGTTGGTGCTACAGTCGCATGTGTTATTTATAGTTGATTACTGTTGAAGTAATCTTGTGCCCCTGGCATGGTTTTTGCAGTTTGATTATGATAGTTCTACTCCACCAGAACTTGGAGAAGGAGATTAAACGGCCATGCCAATCTTCTTAAAGAATTTAGAATAACTTTTATGGAAGCTATAAAAATGGCATGTGTTTTTCTCTAACTAACAGTGATTCACTAGTTTAATAATTTTCAAATTAATGTTATTCTATCTGTTCTGATTGTCAATTGTGTTTTAAAATTCCAGGTTCGACTAGGCACTCAAATTTGGTCATATGTTTAGGGAAGAGGCTTCTCATGGAAGGGTAAATTTCAAATTCTCCTTTATTTTTTGGTCATTCATTGTTCTCTGTGTGTGGATACACAAGATTAATATGTTTAAACTTAGGATTCCAGACTTCATTTTGTTAGCCTGATTTATGCAGAAAGCACCTATCGATCCTTTCACTAGAGAAAGTTACAAGCCATCTGCATCTCAAGGAGTTCCAATTGGAGGGATGAGGTATGATTTGTTCCAATTGAAAGCTACCAAATAATTGTTTGACTCACTAATAACCATTCAAATGGCTAATAGGTTACTATTTACAAATATGTTTATCTGTTGGCCATAACCTTTTTCTTCTTGTATTTATTTGAACATGACTATACAGGAGTGGCAGCATATCAAGAGGATTTAGGGGTGAGTTCCGACAATGGCAAATTATTCCTAGCTCATGTGAAGCATCACCAGTCATGGCCATTCAATTCTCTGTGAGTTCTATTTTTCCACTTACTATTGACCTGCTATAATCATCTCTAATTGCATGGATTTATTTCCCTGTGTCATATGTTTGTCACTGATGTGTTCACAATGTATCATTTGAAATGAATTATAGAGACATTAACCATTTCTAAGGAGCTATTGACTTTTATTGATCATGCAGTTTATTGCTGCTTGCAAGAAACCTCCTGTGTTTTGCATAATTACTAAATATTTGGCTGGTGGTTCACTAGCAAAATTCCTGCATCACCAACAACCAGATATACTTCCACTCAAACTTGTTCTGAAATTAGCCCTTGACATTGCAAGGGGAATGCAATATCTTAATTCTCAAGGGATTCTCTATAGGGACCTCAAATCAAAGAATCTCCTTCTGGGGGAAGACATGTGTGTAAAAGTAGTAGATTTGTATAGTTCATAAACAGTTCATAAACTGGTGGCATAGTTTAGAAGCAGTTCATAAATAGTCCAGTTCAAAAATAGTGCAGTTCAGAAATAGATTAAGGTGCATAGCAGTTCAGTTTAGTTCATATTATAGTTCAGTATAGTTCATTACAATACAGTTTAATAGAATAAAAAATAGTTCAGTTCAGTTACGGCCATGCCAATCTTCTTAAAGAATTTAGAATAACTTTTATGGAAGCTATAAAAATGGCATGTGTTTTTCTCTAACTAACAGTGATTCACTAGTTTAATAATTTTCAAATTAATGTTATTCTATCTGTTCTGATTGTCAATTGTGTTTTAAAATTCAAAAAAAAATCTAGCCCCAACAAGGGCATTCCATACAAGTGGTTTCATATAGCCACCAAGAAAAGAAAGACACATAAATAGCAAGACGGGATAGAATCGGACAAGGAAGAATAATCAAGCCTATAAGCATGAAGAGGCCATCACGCCTTACTTCTTCACCAAGTGAAGGATAATCCAAGATAATGCCAAGACCACCAGGAATGGTTTCCTCACCAATGTAAGGAGTGGCTTCCAAAATAATACTCATCAATAAAGATTCAGCAAATAACATCATGGGAATAGATCCCTCCATCAATGATGACAACAAAAAGAAAAAACAACATGAGAAAAAGGCAAGCTTCGTAAATGTAGAAAAAATCGAAGCATTTATAAAAATAGCAAAAAAGGCAAGCTTCAACATGAAAAAGCCGAAGCTAAAAAATAAAATTCAGAAAAAAAATCCTACCACAAGCAAGCGCCTGGAGAGGCATCACAATACTCACATGGTAGGGGCAACACTAGAATCCCTGTCACCCATCAACTCCTTTGCCCACCATCACAAGGGCACCACCTACCAGCAATCCTCGTCTTCATCAGACGTCCTCCCAAAGAAAATGGGCACATCATCATCATAAGCAGGCAGCCTAGAGAGGCCAGGCATAATAATACTCAATATTTACTCCTTTTCCCACAATCACAAGGTCACCACCTACCAGCAATCCTCGTCTTCATCAGACGTCCTCCCCATAGAAAAGGGGCAATCACATCATCATCATCAGCAAGTAGCCTGGAGAGGCTAGGCATAATAATACTCATCATTTACTCTTTTGCCCACCATCACAAGGGCACCACCTACCAGCAATCCTCGTCTTCATCATATGTCCTCCCATAGAAAAAAGGGCAATCACACTCAGCATCAACAAGCATCCTGGAGAGGCCAGGCATAATAATACTCACCATTCAGCAAGCAGCTTGGAGAGGCCAGGCATAATAATACTCACCATTTAGCAAGCAGCCTGTAGAGGCCAGGCATAATAATACTCACCATTCAGCAAGCAGCTTGGAGAGGTCAGGCATAATAATACTCATCATTCAGCAGGCGGCCTGGAGAGGCTAGACATAATAATACTCACCATTCAACAGGAAGCCTGGAGAGGCCAGACATAATAATACTCACCGTTCAACAAGCAGCCTGAAGAGGTCAGGCATAATAATACTCACTGTTCAGCTGGCAGCCTGGAGAGGCCAAACATAATAATACTCCCTCTTAAACAAGCTACAAATAAAGGGACACATTATCACAAGAGAAATAATGGAGCTTCTACTCGAAAACTGAAGATCAGGTGTATAGTTTGTCAACCTTGTTACTCAATAGAGTACGCAATCAATGCTCAACTGCTCTAAAGGGTGAGGATACGAGCAAATACCCCTGTCTAAGGGAAGCAACGTAGAAGCATCAACATAGAGACGAGAAGAAGACCCGGACGAAATGTCTACGTCTTTACTTGCCTTTCAAAAAGTAGCATAGCTATTCCAAAGGACAAGTAAAGAGGGACAGCTGTAGACACCCAATTTCGTCCGGGGGCCTACAAACAACAAGATAGGACATTAGAGGGCCCAAAAGCCCAAATCAACTATTTTTAGTGGCCTAGAATGGGCCGTTCCAAAATCAGAACGAGTCGTTCCCAAGTCTAGAACGGGCCGTTCTTGAATTGGAACGGGCCGTTCCGAGACTCCTAAAAGGCCTAAAAATCATAGGTTGGAACAGGCCGTTCCAGACCAGAACGGGCCGTTCCAAACCAATCAAAGGGCTAAAAAAACTTGGTTTGGAACGGGCCGTTCCTAAACCAGAACGGGGCGTTCCAGACCAGAACGGGCCGTTCCAAACCAATCAAAGGGCTTAAAAAACTTGGTTTGGAACGGGCCGTTCCTAAACCAGAACGGGCCGTTCCAAAAGGTTAAAAAGGCCTAACAAACCTAGTTTGGAACGGGCCGTTCTAGGAAGGGATATGAGTGTTAATTTGTACCCTAGAACGGGTCGTTCTAGGGTACAAAAATAGCACATAACGTTTGGATCTGGAACGGGTCGTTCCGAATCCAGAATGGGCGTTTCCAGCCCATATCTAATGCCTATAAATAGAAATCTTGGGCACAGTTCTTAGGGCCCCCAAAAATTTCATCCAAGACTCCTTAGAGCTCAAAATTTTTCTCTCTCTCTCTCTCCCTCTTATTGTATTTCTTGAGATTTGTGAGGCATATTGTAGTGTGAAAGGTTGCCATAAAGCACCTTCTCCATATTTGAAGATTCAATAGAAGCTCGTTCAAGAGGTATTTCAATCAATCTTCTTCTATATTTTATTTCTCATCTTTATCTCCATCTTTTATTTATAACAAACGCAATCATGTAGATATTTTAGGGCTAGTCGTATAATTTAATTTTTAAGCATGTAAATAGTCTTCAATAAAAGGGGATTTAATATTTATATTATTATTTCTTATCACATTAACTTCATCATAGGGTACCGATTTAGGGCGCTGTAGGGGTGCTTAATACCTTCCTTACACGTAACCGACCCCCGAACCCAATTCTGGTTATCAAGGCCATTATTGGACCTTTTAAAAATCTTTTCTTTTTTCCAATGTTTTGAGTAAAACATTGGTGGCGACTCCATAGAACCTATTTTCAAAACCATCAATTAAGGATTAGTCTGGTGTCCGAGCATTCCTTAACTGATGAGATCTTTAAAAGGATGTCTAAACCATAGGTCGTAAGATCAGAAATTTTTGGGTTGCGACACTAAGGAGGATGAAATACTCACTCTCTAAACCACTCTCCTTGTCTGCCAAGTTAGCAAGCGTTAGGACGAGCTTGCAATTCAAGGGACGAGGGAGCGCGGCCAGGTCGGCAATGGCAATAGTATCTGAATCTGACAGCTGGAGACTGCTTGACCCATTGAACTTGATCAGATTCTGCTGCCAGAAGAGTGGGAACCTCGACAACCCGCGGAAGTGGAAGACTTTTTCAATAAGTGGGTCAGCCTCAGCAGGCCGAACTCAGAAGAACTCCTGTTTGAAGCCCTTGTACGACTTGGAGTAAAGCGAAAACAACCCCCCAACCTTACTCCCATTCAAAGACACCCAACCCAGGGAGGCTCACCCAACTTGAGTTGGTAAAAATGGAGAAAAACAGGCAACGACAACCCTATCCCCAAGGCCTAGCACAAGACTTGAAAAACCCTCAAAAAACCCCAACTGTTGGGGTGCAGTTGGCAAGGGGCCATGTTGACAAAGTTCAAAAAATCACATTCAAACTGAGAAAAAGGCAGACACACACCCAAATCCCTAAAAAAGCATTGATACACGTAGAAAAAGGGGGTATTGGGAGTACCCCCATATACACACGCTCACCGGGCTGGCAAGGCTCAACCCGGATGAGCTTGGAAATGGACACTTGACAAATTCTATGCGATTTCCACATTGCATTGACCTCAAGAAATGATTTAAAGACACTCTGTAACTCTCCGATGTCCCCTCGGACCCACTCATATCCCGGGAGGGTAATGGTAGGGTGAGAATCCATAGGGTTATTCCCACCCCTCTTCTTTTCAGCAGCGACCGTCTCGTCGGCTACCGCCTTGCCGCGCGCGTTGCTCTTGCCCTTGGCCAGCGCAGAAGGTGCGGCGCTACTCTCACCAGCCATCAGGAGTTGAAAAGATTCGAAAAGGGGAAAAAAGGAAAGAAGAAGGAGACTGGCAGAGAGAAAGAACGAGGAAGAAGACAAAGTAGGGGAAGTACTTGGTACTCCTTAAATAATGACCTTAACAGCGACCTGATTGCCGGAAACGGCGACAACAGGGCACAACGGAGTCAATAAAAGAGAGTGGAGACGAAGGGTGAGCAAAAGTGTTGAGAACATGCCAGGGAAGAAAGAACAAAGTGAATGTGAGAGGGCGCGAAGGAGAGAGGGAAAAGGGGGTTTGCAAAATCAAAAACGGTAGTGACACGTGGCGGAAACGACAAAACTGAAGACACATTAAATGAGGGCCATTATAACGAGTGCGCCCCATCATTTTATAATCGTCACCTCCCATTAACACGCGGCCCACGCGTTTCGGGGAACGAGGTGACACTTATGACACATGGCGTCACGTCGAGGAAGCGTACACGAAGAGTTGTGACCCTTCGTCGAACTCGGCATTAACTCCTCGACTCACAGTCTTAGGAGCTCGGGGGGCTAGTGTACTATCCGTACTGCGAAGCCGAGCTTGAGCTCGACATCACAGCGCAGATTGACATCGGATATGTGCCACACGACATCGGCCAAGACAAAGGCCCACTACTTGAACAAATCATAACCGATCTCAGGCCTAAGGCCCAGATAAATCCTAATTCACACTAAGGTACGTGCATTACTTATACGAGACCCATACACCCACAAATACTAACTTTAGCATTGAAGTCTCTTTTGCAGGTACCACCGCCACTTTGGAACGGCGAACGTACCCATCGAAAGAGGTTCACCATTCTTGCCCAGAAGATCGTCTCCCTTGACTGATCTCTGGTAAGAACACTTTGATATTTTAGCCTTAGTGGATAATTGAATGTCAAAATATAATCTACCAACAATCGTTCTTAGGGATATCAATCAATCAAAAACCTACCTATGTAAAACAGTCGATCTAATCTTTAAATAAAAGAAAATCTTTGGTGTAAACAAATTTTTAAGACAATTTTATCTTTATATATAGCTACTTAGAAAATTATTTTTTTCTCTCTCCATAATTTTTTCTAAAAAAACTGGCCTTAGCATTATTCAAAGTTTGCTAAAATTTTAATTAACCGCTCATTTTTATTTTATTTATAGATTTTATAAAATACACAGACACGAAAATGCATTTTTTTTTACACTAGTGGACTATAAAGTACAAAAAAAATGGATCGACCCTCAACTTAGAAAGGTACAACTTCTAATAAAAGAAATAAAAAAAAAAAAAAAAACTTTAAAAATCAATAACCTAATTTGCAAAAAAAAAAAAATCTTTTATATTAACTACTCTAGAATCTAATTTTTAATTTATGAATTCTGTTAGTGTTAGGAGACCAACTTGATAACAGTTACCACCACCACAGTTTCAGATACACTTGAATATTTACTCAAATACTACGAAGGCTTCGCAAAAATCAATAAAGGGCCATAGATGTTGAGGAAACAAAGAGCAAATAAAGGAATTATAAAATAATGAAAGAACGATTTGTCAGCGGAATCTTCTCTAAGGAACATTGAAACCGATAAATAGAGGGGGAAAAAAGAAAAGGAAAATATTTATATCAGAGCTATAATTTCATTTTCACAAAAAGAAATACAAATATACAATAACACAAAAATATTAAAATACCACTGCAAAATTACAAAGCACCAAGCAAACCAGAATGAAAAAATAATATAAAAAATAGGAATAAATTGAATCACAATATTTGCCATATGCCGCTGTTGAAGAACCGAGAAAAACTCTGGTGTTGTATCCCAATCAAGAGTCTTCATAACTCCAATTTCTAAGATCAAATTCACAACCAATTATACCGAGAGATCTTCGTCAAGGTTGACCACAGATGAAAAAATTCTGGTTTATGCAGCCACTGGTGGTTCCTGCATTGGTGGATCACAAGATGCAACCGAAAAAAATTGACGATTTCAATCAAAGATTAAAAATTGGAGCACAAATATAATTCCTCTTTCAATAGAATACACTAGTTTTACTCAACCATGCAGACATAGGAAAATGGAACGAAAGCACAATACAAATAATTATTATTACAAACTAGTGGCATCTTGATCCTGGGGTCTCTATATTGAGATCTTGTGTGAAAGTTTGTTAAAAATTATTAACATTTATTAGATTAACTAGTACTATGCTTGGTTCTCGAACTTTGATGTCTCAGGTTTGTGTTTGTAAGAATAATTAATTTTTAATATTATTTTTTATTATTTAAAATTTAAGAGTAAAATCGTCTAAAAAATGTTTATACCAAATCAGACTATCATCTTTATATCTATAACATTAATAAAGGAGATAGCTTATTTTGGTGTTCATATTTTTTGGGCCTTTTTTACCTGTTAACTAATTTGTTGAAATACATTTTTTATCTTTTAATGAATTTGTATAACTACTCTACTATGTTAAAATTAACCACACATTTTCTTAATTTTATTATTTTTATTTTATTTTTTTTCATTCTTTGTTAGTATGTTGTAGATAACATTGGTACCCCGTGTAATTTTTTGAGATTGCACATTATTAACTTCCTTTACAAAGATACAGTGTAATGAGTTTTTTTCGGGTAACAGGGGTCAATGTCATTCTAAAATATTTCAAACAATTAAGGAAGGTTATTTGAGGGGTCAAAACACACAAGGGTATCGTGGATAAGTTTAGATAAACTTTTCCATAAGCATGTTAGAAGATGAAAATAAGGAAATATAAAATTAGCTTCTCCATAAATTAAAATAGTTTATGCATAAATTATTTTGGAGAAGTTTTCTCATATTAACTACTCCGAAATGTTTTTTTAGCTTATATATATAAGCTAATTTTAACTAACAGAGAAGTTTATTTTTGTTTTCTTCTCTTTGAAATGTTTATAAAGATGTTTATCCAAATAGACCAATGTATAATCTTAAGCAATGTGTAATTTTCTCATTATTACTATTATTTCTATTTAATCTAGGATGTTATAACAAGAAAAAAAAAAACCCACCTTTGCTGTCAAGTTTGATACAGCCGAATGGAACTTTTCTCTGGTTTTAGTACCAGCAACTTGTCCAACTTTTGCCACCTTACTGAAAGCACCATTTAACCATGTGGTTCCAGCAGCCACATATCTGCAGAGAACCAAGGACAGGAGGGCCATTATTAGCAACTAATAACATACAACCTATGTCAAGTTAAACCATATCCATCGTGCCAATGGAGGTGTAATTATACAAACATCTAAATTTCAGACATTTTGTTTCCTTATTGCAAGACCCAATTACAAAATCATTGCAATCACATGCTGAAATCCAAATGCAGAGGCAGAAATGGAAATCATTAAAGACTTTTCAGTTTAGCTTCTCGAGTACCAGCTTTCTTCAAAAATTCCTGCCAACAGTTTGGCCATGGGTTGCAAAAGTGTCCAACAAGAAAATTTAATCTGGCATATAATTTCACTGCCAGAGAAATTCATTGCCGTCGGGAGAAAACAAAAACATTCATATCAAGGAAGGTCCTATATACTACAATCAGTAGCATTTCAACGATATAGTATAATAGTACACAACACAACAAATATGAAGAAAAAAAGCATTCAAAGGATTACAAATTTTGTTGTAGGCACCATAATAGAATTTCTTTTTCTATGCCATGTCTATTAGGCTATAACAACGAACCTCAAGCAATCTGCAGTAAGCACACAATATACAGTCTAGCTGCCCAGGAACAGTGCTGCCTTAACTGATAATCTATTTTTCTTGTTATAATTCTACTCTGTATCTCACTTTATAAGTTCAGAAATCGGATGCAGAAGTTTCTCCTAAGAAAATTCCATCTGCCAGCTTGTTAATATGCAAACAAGCATCTATTTATTTTTCAAAAGCTCTCATAAAATTGACAAAAACAAGCAATTATTTCTTTTAACCAACCATGCCATAGGTTGATGGATTTCAACTTTCATCAGAAAAGTATTCTAATTAAGTATGTATGATAAGACTTACTTCTAAAGTAAATCTACACCCTATATATATAAATTAGATTACATTGTATTTATAAAAGACTTGGCTAACCTGCTTGTTTTGACAGCTGATCCAGTATCATTTAGTTTTCTCTCAGCAGAAAATATTGCTGCCATAGTCTTATCTGAAACATGCAGCCTCTGATCAACAGATTTCACTTTCTCATTCACCACAGAAATGCCAACTGTTAATTTCTCAGTCAGTCCTACTCTTTTGTCAAAAGAAATGACCTTTGCAGATGCATTTGCAGTCAACTGATGTTTTTCATCAAATGCTTTAGCTTTGCTCAAAGCATCTTGTCTTATTGCTGAACCTTTTGCCAGCACATTCGTAACTACATCTTGTGCTCTACTAATGTACACTCTTCCATTGGTGAGGTTAGCCTTGTCCACCTGAGAGATGTAGTACAGCAAACCATAAGTTCAATTTATGAAAGAAAATTTTATAACAATATTAAGTGAACAGTACCAGTAATATTTGCCAGCCTTCAAAATAATCGGAATGAGCTGTTTAAGATTATAAATAAATGATTCAAGACTGACACTATATGAGAAACCCTATAAATAGTTATTAATATAAAAATAAATTACTTAAGAATTCATAGTTGCAGCTTTCATCTCAAACAGTTATCTTAATTGCAATGTTGAAGTAATATGTGTATTAAAATACAGGCAGATGCATAGGCAAAACTTTAGTACACTAATGATATTTTTCACTCCTTTTTAACCTTATCTTCCCATGGAGAAGACTTTGTCAGGAAAAATAGATCATGCAAAACCTTAAATCTGGATTTTGGATTTTACCTCAACATTTGGTGAAACATTTTCAGAAGGAGCTACATTTAAAGCATTTTCTATCCTTACTTCCTGCATAAATTGCAATGGATCAGTTTTGAATTTCTAATCAATATGGATGTAAGATAATGAAGATTTTGACAAACTAACCTGCATCTCATCCTCATGTTTTAGTACGTAGTTTTCAACTGGAGTTATACTCACAATCTGGTCTACTATTGTTGCTCCCTGACAGAGACAACAGAAATTTAACTTTTACACATCAACAAGTGCAAAACCTTGTCTAAGTTGGGTAAGTTCCCAACTCAATATGAAAACCAAAATGCCAAAAAACAAGGCCACAGAGGAAAGGCATTTAAACCAAAATATTAAAAGAAGCAATTAAAAATATACATTGTTAAGTACTTAAGAAAATATAGCCCTCTTCTCTAATAATGTGACGACATCATACTTTGTGAATTGCAGTTGCAAGAAATTTGTCACTGCAAATGATAACCCTAGCACAAAGCCTAATATGCTAAGGCTATCATATAAGTTTTATTTTGATACATTTTTATGTACAAAAACAGAAAAAACCATAAAATGACATCTTGAGGATTTCAATCTCATCATTTCCAAGGGACAGTTCATGTTCATCCTACTGGCACCTCAATCTAGTACACATCATTTACTAGGAATCACTTTCTTTCATTTTCGTTAAGGTTCAGGTCCACAATGTTCATTATTCAAAAGACATGATTTAACAAACAAACTTCAGAAGTAAACAAGTTCACTTGACAAAACAACCACCATTTTCATTTAGTACAAGTTAAATGGAGTATATGTAAAATAAGATTAGCAAGAGTTATGCTAATTCTAGCTTCGGGTGAAAATTGAATACCATACACCATACCGAGATTCACATGATTTAAGTGTCTCGGATCCATCATACAAGATGTCAGGGAAGTAGAGGGAGATGTAAACCATAATATTTGTGCAAGATGGATGAAATGGAGGAGTGCATTGGGTGTTATTTGTGACAGAGTAGTTGTACTCGAGCTTCAGGGAAGCTTTTACCACAACTACTAGAACTATGATGTCATATGGGACTGATAGGGTGACATACAGCCAGCAACAAAATAAGCTCAATTTTCAAACATGAGAACATTACTATGAATTAGTGGACACACAAGACAAGATAGCGTTAAAAATGAATATTTTGAAGGGGAAAATGGGGTAGCACTGTAGCACCTATTGAGGAAAAGATCATAAAATCTAGCATTGGGTGGTTTGGACATGTGTGGAGAAGGCTTAAGAAAGCCCCAATGTGGAGAGTAGTGTAGATAAAGGGTAGTCCAATCGTTGCAGCTTCGGAGGTAAAAAGGGGGAAAAAAAAAACTATAGGCCAAACCATTAAGAAGGACATTATTTACAATAAGATTCAATTTAAATAGTTTGTAATTAGACATGATTTACAGTAGAAAAAAATGCCATTATTTGATACATGCAGCCGACACCACCTAGTTGGGCTTTTGTTTTTGAACCTAAAACTTAAATCGAACTTAAAAGTTCAAAACACTTCAGAGTCTAATCATCAATCTCAAAATTGTAACGAACCTCTTTCAAAATTTGACACACAAATGAATTAAACACCAACTGAAACTGAAAAGCAATTTCCCTCTTTCAACTCAGTCAAGAAGAAAATCATAACAAATCAAACTTGACACACCAACAAATATACAAAGCAAAAGAGACATACCGACAGCAATAATGCTATTTCAAGCGCTTTTGGGTCTTTAAATGTCACAAAAGCTGTCTTTGATTTCCCAGTTACACTGCAACAAACAGACACAAGCATCCAACCATAATAAACTGGATCGCTAACAGCAAGCATGAAGAAGTGAACTTAGGTTCAACATCTTAATTCAAAGCAATGAAGCATATAACTTTTTTCAACAGCAAGCATTTATTTCTTTAATTACATTTGCTAAGCTACCATCACTATGGATGCTAAGATATAATAATATAAGAAGCAATTTGAATGAATGAACTCTAGCAAAGCACTTTACATTACAATAATAGTTAAACCCGGCCCTTTTCTGCTATTTGTTTTAAATTTAATCCATGTGTGTGTGTATAAATAAAAAAAGTTGCATTTATCACACTGTCACATATATAAATCAAAAAGCACCCCATATTATGTCCTAATTCCTACCTCTCTAAGCACCCAATCAGAAATCACATTAGAACAAGCATATATTTTGTTCCATAAATTACAAAACACAGAAAATTATAAATCAAGAAATTAAGGCATATAAAAATTAAAAATAAAATAAAATAAAATAAAAACCACCTTTGGATCTGAATGTGCTCAATTTCTCCAGAAAAGGAGAAGAACTCGTGAATCTCTCTCTCACCAGCTAGATCCGAAAGTTGCTTCACTTGCACCGTTCTTGTCTGGAATAAGAAACAAAAACAAAAGAGAGACCCAGAAAAGGAAACTGAATAAGGATCAAATTTTGAATAAAAAAACAATGGTAAGAACATGAAGGAGTTAAGGTTTGAATTCAGTGAAAAGTAAGTAACCTGCATTGTAGTAATAGTAGTTTTGTGTAGCAGAAAGTGTTTGTATTATGAATTCTGAAATTTGGTGGCTGAGAGAGAGGTTGTGGGAGAAGACAGGTTGGAGTGATAGTGTCACCAAGCAATGTTTAGTTGCACAGACAACAAAATTATGAGGAAATCAAAAAAGTTAAATATTTTGGCTTTTAAATAAATGGGTTGAAAAGTGATTAGTCACCTATTTAGCAAAAAAAATTGTGTTTCATCTATGTTTTGTATCAAAATTTGTTGAGCTAATAGCCACAGAAGAATAAAACTGAAAATATGACAGGAAAAAGAAATGGTTTTGATTTTTTGAATACTGTGATAAATTTGATTTCCTGTTTATGTGTACCTGGAAGACTTTATTGAAGAAAAAAAAAGACTATTTATTTAGGTTTAAAAATAATTATAATATTTTTATTATAAATTAAAATTTCTAAAATTACAAATGTTGGTGAGTTTTGTTTTTTATTTAATAAATTTTCCTAATTTAGAAATACAATGTATCAAATTTGAAATTTTATATTTTAATATATTATTTCGAATAATAAAAATATTTGGAAAAAAAAATGTTGAAAGAGGAGTATATGAATGAGTAAACATGTGACTGAGTGAGGAATGTAATTATGATGTCGCACCTTACTTCAATAAAGAATAAAGGTGAAAAAATGCAAGCTGATGTGTAATTCCTCAAATGCCTCCGGTCTGCTTTTCAATTTTTTGATTTATTATTATTTTACATTAAAATAAAAGTTTTACAAGAAATTATAAAAGTTGAAAGATAGCTTACTTGTATAATAATTAGGAGATTATTAAATTGATACATTATCACTAATTAACCTTTAGAAAAATTCACCAATAAAGATATCTAAAGGAGATATTTTTATTTTAGTTTTAACTTTTCATTAGATCATTATATTTTTAACTCTTAAATTTTAATATATTTTTATAACTATTTTTTCTTTCAAAATTCCTAAAAGACAAATACATAAGGTATGGGGTTTCTCTTATTTCTACTAGTAAAATTTAGAGGAGAACGCTATTGTTATTTGTTATATTCATTACAATTTTTGTTTAAATACTTTTATATTAAAAAAATTATCGCTTAAAAGATTTATATAAATTGAATAAAATATAAATAATAATAAACACGTGAAAGTGATAATAAACATTCTCCGTCTGAGGAAGGATTTTATAACTTAAGCATAGACCATGATTTTGAATAGAATCTGATTAATTGATTTCAAAAAATATAATTTTTATAACTTATCGTTTTAAACATTTTAAATATCAAAATATATTGTGTTTAATTTTTATTTCATTTTTTAAAAAAATTAATCAATTATTTATTGCAATTAAAAATACTTTGGTTAAATTATTCACTTAATCTCTATAATTTTTCTAATTTTAGGTATTAGTTACTCTACAAGATTTAAAGCTATATGTTTTAATCTTTGTGCACTTTTGTTTATTGTGGTTTATCATAACTAAAAAAAATCTGTTATTTTTAGTTTTTACGCCATTTAAATTTTTTGTAACTTTAATGTATATGCGTATAAAAATTAAAAAAAAAATTAAATATGTTTTAGTCTCTAAAATTTAAGATAAATTTATTTTTAGGTTCTTCAAATTTAAAATTGCTCTTTTTAGTTTCTGTAATTTTTTTAAAAATTTTATTTTAGTCCTTATACTCAAATTTTGTTAAAGAATTTATCAAATACTTTCGCATAAAAATTACCTATTAGTGTTCCGATTAATGAAAATATCACATTAAATCTAATTGATACTTTATAATTGTCTTAATTTGTCACTTTCAAATATGTTATTGGTGACCTAATGGATTAAAATCTTATTTTTGAAAATTACAATAACTAAAACCAATGATTTTAAATTTAAAGAATCAAAAATAAATTTATTCTAAATTTAAGGAAATAAAAAATATTTAAGCTAAATTAAAACTTACAAGTTTTCGTATAGAGACTAAAAGTTAAAATGAAAATAATTATAGGGATTGAATATATAATGTAACAAATTCTTGTTTAAGAAAACATAAACAATCATATACATTTTTGTTTTTATGTCTAAAAATTTCACATTACTTAAGAATCGTGACTAAGGTAATTTATAAACAAAATTTCTTCCTGAGGTGTCCTTTAAAAAGAGAAAATTATGATGGTCTAACAAACATTGAAGGGAACAATACTTCATATGTGTTGATTCTAACGATATTAATAGGCATATGCTTAAAATATTAACGCTAAAAAAAGTTTAAATCACTCTTACCCCCTTCTCCACGGGGTATTGTTAAGGATGACTTATGATTTGAAAAAAAAAATTATAATAATTTTAATTAAAAAGATTTTCAAAAATTTTTTTAATAAAAATGTATCATATAAAACCTGGAATATTACATTTTTGTGAAAAATTAAAAGGATAGCAATCAAAAATGTTTCTGACTATATAATTTATTGAACTAGAATTTTAAATTTTTCATCAAAATGAATAATTAATTTTTTTTTATAAGTAATTGTTTTCTACAATAGTATCAAGTATCACACTTTTATGAAAATCAAATGCTTTTTTTTTTCTAACATAAAAAACAAATGCTTTTTTAGGTACGAATTCGAAACGATGAAACATTAAATAGGTGGTCCAACAGACGCATGCTATGCTACCCACCAAATTACGGATTTTATTAAAAGACAAAAATCATAACAATGACAGTTTGATGATAGATATCATATTTCTTGTTATACAGAACATATTTTTTTTTTTCCATATCTAGGAATCATGTTTTCAGAAATCACATTTGTACATGTGGGGCATACGCCCACCCCCTCTCGGTCACCACCAAGGCCAGAAACCCCTTCGGCCTTGGGCATAATGTATGACTAGGGCGCACGCTCAACTCTGCTCGGCCTTTAACAAGAGCGAAGAGCCCTTTAGCTAAATGTTTAGCTAAATGTGACCTCCCTGGATAATACCCAAACCGAACACCCCTGGTCGGTCCAGACAGAGGCCGAAGGGATAACAGTCGTTATCAAAAGAACACTAGGTATAGCCCGACGTAAAGATCAATCGAGTACCCCCTCGATCGCAAGGTCCGCCGAAGGGGTTCGCGGCATCCCAACGTTATTAAATTAAACGAATAATAAGGGCCACATCACATCAACGTTTTGAGCTTAGCGGAAAAACATATAAAAGGGAGAGTTAAATATGTATGTGTGTGAACAAAGGTATTTTAAAAATATTTTTGTAAGAGTAGTGCTCTTTGTCCACTGCATTTTTGAATATCAGACGTTTATGCAGAGTTTGTTTAACATACGATCAATGCGTCTGAAGGGTTTATCGTCCACTAGAGAAAATGTTTTGTAAAAATATTAATTGAAGTTCTTACATTTTCCTTTTCAAGATAGTTTCGTTTAAGGATAAGTAGCAGATGAAACTTTCAGTGTAATAAGTTTGTCAAGCAAAGTTTGTTAAGTCAAATGAAGACATTCTCAAAGAGGTTTTGAGTGAGACAAATATAATATATGTTGTTATCTCTAACAAATAAGTTAGTGTTTCAGAAAGACGTAAGAACAGGTATAAAGCAGCATCTGACGATACAAGACAAAAGGCCAACATAAATAAGACTCAAACGGAAGAAGATCAACGACCAAGAAGAAATGAAAAGACTAATCATATACCAGGTTGACTAAGACGAAAGAAAAGTCAAAATACTGAAGGTCAAGGCATTATACTACATGATGACTACCAGACGCAGACGAAGAATGACACATAATCACCTAAGAAGTCATGGTTCAAAAGAAACCTTGAACACCATCTACACTCATAAAAAGAACACACGAAGTCAGACGAATTATGACAAGAGAAGAAGAAAGAAGAAGAGGATGGTCAAACGCTAAATGATAAAAATGTTAGAAAAAGTACATCACTTTTTCAGTCAAGGACAAAAGCTCCACAACTATAAGATTAGAAAAAGGACAGAAGTTTCCTAGGACTCTGCTACATTCAAATACAGCTACCAATTGAACAGGAAAACTTCACGCATTGTCTATAAACAGGAAGCAACATTTAATGCAAGGATCAGAGCCTTAAATGAGAAGATTAAACTAGTCATAAACGACTATATCTGCTTCAACGGATATATGCAACGGAGCAGATTTTACAAGAGCCTATATATATCACTACCTCAAACCTTAAAAGGTTGGATTTTCCTGATCAAGAAATAGTGACATCAAGCCCAAGAAACTGTGATACCATAGATGAGCATTCAAAGTCATATGTACAATGTATTATTGTAGTTTTATCTCTATAGATTAAGGTATTCAAAATGTTAGCTATGGACAAACCTTAGTGAGTGTTGTAAACCTTTGTATCCTCTCCATGAGAGTAACCCAAACACTCAAGCTTAAGTCTCTGTAAAACTAGGATAGCAAACCTTAGTGAGTGTAGATCATATATGTATCCTCTCAGTGAGAGTAACCCAAAACACTCAAACTTGACTATACTTTTGTCAACATTGTAAAGCCTGAAGAGGCTAGGAAAAGAATACTTGTAAAACCCGGAGGGGCTTGTCAAAGAATACTCACTACCAGCCAGAAGTGGCTGATAAGAAAATAGTAGCATTGGTGAGCGAAGCCGACGGGCCAGAAGTGGTCGAGAATACTTGGAAAACAAGAAGTGGTTTAAGAATACTAGCGTTGGTGAGTGAAGCCGACAGGCCAAAAGTGATCGAGAATACTTGGACTAGAAGTGGTGTAAGAATACTAGCGCTGGTAAGTGAAGCTGGTAGGCCAGGAGTGGTCGAGAATACATGGACCAGGAGTGGTTGAGAATACTCATGTCCAAGAGTGGACGAAAATACTCATGTACTTCATTGCATATATAGTGGAACCCTTCAGTTGAAGGAGACTGAACGTAGCTCAGATTGAGTGAACCAATATAAAAATAATTGCATCATTTTATTTAGTCTTCAGACGAGAAAACTTCCTAATTGACAAACCATGTTGAAAACTGTGTCTAAAGTTTATTTCTCATTAACACCATTTTTCAGACGAAGACGCAAAGTTTGGTTACCAAACATACTATATTGGAAGTTTTATCTGCTGCTTATTCTCAAACGAAACTATCATGAAAA